GCTGCCCTGCTCAAAACCCCTCAATGGTTTCCCAATGCACTCAGAGTAAAATCCAAGTGGCCTGGCTTATAAAGTACTTCAAAATCTATCCCACCTACCTCTCTGATTTTACATTCTATGGGTCTCTGCTCCAGCCAAACCAGCCTTCTTGCTACGCCTTAAACTTCACAAGCTAACTTCCACCTCAGACTCTTCATTGTTATTTCCCTGGGCCTAAAGTAATTTTCTTGCTCCCCCACTTCACTAGGGCCCCTCCTCAGATACCATCTCCTCACAAAGGGCTTTCCAGACACCCTATCTAAAACTGCCTTTCTTCCTCTCCGTTACCTGCTCTAATTTTCCATTACTTCCCAAAACATTTATTGTTTGTCTTATTTCACCAGACTGTAAGTTTCACGAGAGCAGGGCTTTGCCTTGTTCACTGCCTGCAACACATTAAGATGGTCAATAACACTTAAATGATTAAATACATGAACAAATGAATTCTAAAATTATCATAAATTATTCTAATTTCATTTTATGTTGAAACTGAAGGCTGTCAGCTAATGAGCTAAAAACTGTTTTACTAAGTACTTACTTGACTGATCTGCATAAGTTCTCAGAGGCACTGCAGAAAGTCCCTGTAGGCTATGAGATATTCGATTGAAATGGCCCCTCTAGAAAGAAAAAGAAAATGCTCCTATTATATAAGATGAATTCAAAACACAGAACTGCTGGAGGTTGATGAAAACATAATAATTAAGAGCAAATTTATAAAGTACTGATTATTAATGTATCTTCCATAGCCACAGAGATCACATGTCAATTTTTCTTCTTTTTGACAGTAACGGTCATTTAAATTTTTTAATTTTTCAGTCTCAGCTAGCTGTACCCATCTTTTTATCATGGAAATTCAACAAACCATCTCATATTTAACCTAACTTAAAAATTTATTCAATGATATTAAGGTTTATTAAATTTTCAGAAGGCACAGCTACTTTTTAGAGCCAGGGATCATTTTAATGTCATAATTAAAGTTCTGTAAGTTCTAATTTAAGTACGTGAATAAGCTATAGTATGATAATCTTTTTTCTTGTAATTATTGTGTTCCAACTCTAATCTACTACTATGTATATATAGTACATATTTATGTAGAAAGATGCTCCTAAGTCATCAACTAGAAACAGAAAACAAGACAAGCTAGCTTAGGAAAATGCACTAAATAAGGGTACAAATATTCTGGAGCTACAACACTTTTTACAAATTTCACCATCATCTCTATAGCTACAGAATGATGGTTACCATTTCTTAAGAACAGTGAGGCACAAGGAAACAAAGCAAGCTATCTCCTGCTCCTACCCAGACAGGCGAACAGGAGGCAGTGACAAAACCTACACTGATGTAGTAACGTTCTTTATTTCAAAGCAACTCTTTCGCCTGAGAGCAGGACAACAGAGCAAAGAGAAGCAGACTGTCAGTCCTTTAGTCCCACCTCTTCCTCTGCCTAAAAGCAAGAACTTCTAGCATGTAACATTACCCTTTGGGAACACAGGCTTCTCATCTTTGAAACAAAGGGGGTTGATCACTGTATTATCTTTAAGGTCTTCACCAATATCATAACCAGCCACAGTCCCACATATATATCTAGTAGGTGGATATAAAGGGAAAGCTGTCTTTACGACAACCGCTGCTATTAAAAATGTAAGTTGCCGGAGGACCTGAGAGTTATGGACACTAAGTTATGGCTTCAAACACTGATTACGCCGTCGGGGAATTCCCAGAGCTATCCGTTGGGATTGTCATTCAAGAAGTGTCCCCAAGGTTACCTGCCCACTGTAGAAAATTAGGCCATTGAGAGGAAGGGATCAGGATTAAGAGAAGGGAAAAGTTATGAAGAACCAGACCGTATGGGACAAAGCTGAGTGGCTCACATTTCCTCCACCAAGGTAGAGGCCTGTGCGACCAGGACGCTCTTCCGGCCAGGTGTGAAGGTGCGGTGTGCGTGGCTGCCGGGCGTCACACACCTGGCGAGCACTCTGCACGGCCTGGGCCCACGCCCACTGTTTGCCGGCTACTACCGGAGAACTAGCCGTTACTTCCCAGGCGAGGTCCGGGCTGAGCCGGCGCAGAGGAGGAGCTAGTGGTAGCCCAAGACAGACCCCCGGCCTCTCCCACTCCACCCAGAGTTAGGCCGCGTCCCGAACTCACTGAGCGGGCCCCTCAGTGCCTCTAGCTCAGCACGACCCCACCCACTCACACTCGGGCCTCACCTTGGCCAAGGAGCAGTACACACGACTCCAGCTCTGCATTTTGCCCCTTCAATTTTCTTTCCGCCAACGCTTTCACCTCCGCTAAGCTTCTCCGCCACTTCGCCAAGGTCTCCCCGCCCTGCGCATGCACAAGCCCAATTTACGTCATCTCCTGGGAGCAGCGCGATTGGCCCGGGCGGTCCCACTGGAAGAAACGTCCCGACTAGGCGTCGTACGCTGTCGTAAGGGGCGTAGTGCTTTGCGGTAGTGGGTTGAGGGAGGTGGCTGGAACGTTTTAGCGCTTGCTGTCAAAATATCCGGCGCTGAGATGTAATCTTATTCTTGCACGACGAAATAAACAAATAAAGTCTTTGAACTTTACTGCTTTAAAATCTCTCCCCTCATATTAAATGCCCTGTAAGGAATAGGACATCCTGCTCTAAGCGAGTAAGATAACTGGCAATATGTAGAAAACAAACTATTTTCTATTTCCTTAAATAGGAAGCATAACTCCCTGGTAGAACAAATTAGAATGGGTGGTTTGGTGGATGAGATTTTAGGTTTTCAGAAGATATAATACGTTTTAAAAGCGTTGAAAAATATTGTCTTCAAGCTTGAGCGCGAAAAGTCTAAGGTCTGATTCTTGCCATGTGATAACTCTATATAGTGTGACAAAGTTTAATTGCACATTTCTTGAACATTCGCTGCCCGGGCACTGTGCTGGGCTCTGTGGATTTGAACACTATTTAGAAGTTATTCCGTATCTATTTTCGATTTTAGATGTAAATGATTAGTGTTCATTATAGAGATGGTATGGCCAGCAGCTCTGCCCTGTGACAGGATCCCCGACTCTTTTGATCTTGTGACTCTGCCATCAGAGCCTGCTTTCCATCTTTTACTTCAAGATGTTAGTGCTAGTTTCTGCCATTATATCACAAAGCCGCAGTTAACTGCACGGGGATCTGGGAAACCTGTCTGGTCTGCCCAGTGTCTAAGTAAAATTGTATTAAGCAATGAGATGAAGAGATACTGAGGGCGGCGAGAGTTGCGTCTTCTTTAGTTTTATGCCAGACTTTGACATCTGATCTAGGAGTCATCTCTGCAAATGCACCAAATCTCATGGTCTTTCCAGAAATGTTTGGGGCTTTTGTCCTCTACTCCCTTATCCAGAATAACAGAATTGCATGCTTATAACAACAAAGAAACAAAAAAAAAAAAAAACCCCTTCCATTCTTTCTAATTCACAAAGCCCGGGAGCTCAACTCAGTATGAAAAGTCAGGCAGGATACAGGTTACTTTCTACACTCATCATATCTCCCCACTCTCCTTTTCACTTCTACCAATTACACCTGTACTTTCTTCAGCTAGAAACAAAAGCCACATGCTTATCAATTACCACACACAGACTGAGGAGCCAGGGGGGTGGGGGTTAGGGAGAGGTGAGAACAGTGGATAGCCCATTCTAGACATGTTTATATTCCAGGTGAGGCAGCCAGAAATTGGACCCTAATTATTTTACTAACTTTATTTTTTTCACTTAAAGCTATTTCATGAGCAACTTTCCATATTCATATTATATTAGACTACAACATTAGTTCTAATGGCGACTTAGTTTTTTAGATATACACTAAGTATTCTTTCTCTCTCTTTTTTCCTTTTTTTTTTTTTTAGAGACAGAGTCTCACTTTGTCACCCTAGGTAGAGTGCTGTGGTGTTACAGCTCACAGCAACCTCCAACTCTTGGTGATTCTCTTGCCTCAGCCTCCTGAGTAGGTGGGACTACAGCACCTGTCACAATGCCCGGCTATTTTTTTGTTACAGTTTGGCTGGGGTCAGGTTCGAACTCTCCACCCTGGATCTATGGGGCCGGCACCCTACTCACTGAGCCACAGGAGTCACCCTAATTAAGTATTCTTTATTATTAGATATTTAGGTTATTACCAGTTTTTCACCATTAGGAACAGCTTATGGCCTATTTCTTGGCACAGTTTTGTTTCATCATTTCCTTTTTTATTTATTTTTATTTTTTATTATTAAATCACAGCAGTGTACATTAATACTACTAAACAGTACATGAGGTACCACGTACTGTTTCTACATACAATTTGAAATACTTTCATCCAACTGGTTAACATGGTTTTCATCATTTCCTTCCAGTAAACTCCCAGAAATAGAAATGCTAGGTCAAAGAAAAAAGCATATTTTAGAGATTTATACTGTCTTTCACTTAATTTAATTTTTAACAATGGTTGTCTTAAGTGAATCAGAAATTCTAACTGGCAGTTTCAAATACCTTTAATTTAAATGAGTTAATGGAAATGAACTATTAATTATAAGAGAGATAAGTCAGGCAATTAAAAACACTGCCTTTGCTGATTTAGGCCAAAAAAAAAAAAAGGAATATTAAATAAGCTATTCTTTACTTCACTGAGCTTTTTGGTGCATTTGATATCATAGCCCCAAGAATGACCTGGGTAGACTCTTCCTTCTCCACTTACCAAATAAATGTGGAAACTTGTAAATGTTCCTTAACTTCTCTGATCCTCCTTTCTATCAAGGTAACACAGGGGCTAGCTCGTACACCACAGGCTATTGTAAGTATTTAACACAAGATATATGTACAGCATCTAGCACAGGGTAAACATTTAACAAACATTAATTCCCTTCTTCCCAGTCCTTTCCCCCTCCTACTAAACTTAATCTTAATTCCTTTTTTATCCAGTATAACTGACTAAGTCTTAGAGGAAAATGTATCTTCATAATGCAAATAGACTGGAAATTTAAATGTTCCACAAAGTGGCCACAGTGAAGTGCTCCATCCACATCCAAGGACAGATCAGAATGAAAACTCTATCCTTTCAATCTTCTTCATTGGGTCTTCTTTCTCTAAGCTCTTAAATGTTAATGTTTCACAAAAACCTGTCCTTAACTTTCTGTACATAAGCTTTTGTGCATCTCACCTACTGCAGTGGCTTTAGCACCTGCATACACTGATAGCTCCCTGAGGCTCATCACCATCCTCTTCCTTCCTTATCTCCAATTCCATGTTTTCTACTGTCTACTGAACATGTCCAACAAGCACCTCAGTTTCAATTATCTAACATCTTAATTTAAAACACATGTTTTCCCTTCTATTTATAATTAATGACACCTCCAAATAGCCTATCATCCATAGTAAAAATTTTGTAGACATTCTCAATTCCTTCATTTATCCTTAAATCTAATTGGCCACTGTTCTAGTTAGAGTCCCCTAGAAGTATACCCAGAAACAAGTATTTGAATACAAGGAGTTTATTTAAGAAATGATTCAAGGAAGCAGTAGCAGGGATGGAAAAGGGATGGAAACTATTTCAGATACATTAGTGAATAGATTATCATGGTGAGCAATTGAAGCTCAGACTCGCTGGAGACGTCTGAAAGACAGGAGAGAGCATGTTTCAGAGTTGCTCTACCCAGAATATACCCACTGACTTCCATCAGTCTTTGAATGAGAACTGCTCCCAGGAATTTTAACTCTCTGGCACTTCTGGCCTGCCCCCTAAATGGGCAGTGTGAGTACCAGCAGCCAGAGAAGTCTCTCCGGCAAAGAGTCCATGGTGCTTATAGTAGAAAGGCTTTGGGTGAGCATGCAGAAGAAAAGTGAACGCTAAGAGGACACAGGGGAGATGCCAACAAAGTCAGCTACAGTCAATTCTGAATGTAAATGTGACAGTAAAAGAAACCCTAAAGGTGGCTCCAGAGTTTCTAGCCTCGTTGGCTGGTAGGGAGTGAAACCAATATAGAAACAGGCAATATGGGAGAAAGAGCCATTTGAGGGGAAGATAATGAGTTACATTCATTGAATCTGAGGTGCCAGATGGATAACCCAATCAAGAGAAGTTATGGAAACACAAGCTCTAGAGACGCCCTTGGAAATGTGCTGGCATGTAGATAGTGTGACACTTACGGGAATAGATAAATTCACTAAAGGTAATAACACCTGAAAAAAAAAGTTTATGATGGAGAGTGAAAGGGGCTATGAGATTATAAAGCTATTACAGTCTTGGGCACGGAGCAAGTCCCAGTCACTATTTGCTAAATTATTTTTAATTGGGATTTGTGGCCTCCTAGAAGAAGCTGTGGTACAGCAGAGTCCCTCATATAGCACCAATCCCCTCCAAACTGCCTCAGACAAGGACAGAAGAATTATTGATATCCGATTGAGTGGATATCATACTTAGCCCTGCGTATAAGTACCAACCACTGCAATAATAGCAAAAACAACTTTAGGCTGGGCACAGTGGTTCACACCTACCATGTTTCCTTGAAAATAAGACCTACCCCCCCCAAATAAGCCCTAGTAGGATTTCTATGCATTTGTTAAATATAAGCCCTACCCCCAATAATAAGACCTAGTGATGGGCATGGCTATGCAGTATATCTGCATAGCCACACCATGCATTTTGGCGCAGAGAGGAAGACATCCCCTGTAAATAAACCCTAGTGTGTCTTCTTGAGAAAAAGATAAATATAAGACAGTGTCTTATTTTAGGGAAAACATGGTATATTCCTAGCCCTCTGGGATGCCAAAACAGGAGGCTTGTGTAAGGTCAGGAGTTCAAGACCAGCAAAAGCAAAGTGAGACCCTGACTCTACCCAAAAGAAAAATAATATTAGCCAAGTGTTGTAGTGAGTGTCTGTGGTCCCAGCTTCTCAGGAGGCTGAGGCAGGATGATCACTTGATCCCAGGAGTTCGAGGATGTTGTGAGCTAGGCTGAGGCCACAGCACTCCAGCAACAGAGTCAACACACTGTCAAAAAAAAAAAAGAAGAAGAAGAAAGAAAGAAAAGAATGAAGGAAGGAAAAAAGAAAAAAAGAAAGAGAGAGAGAGAAAGGAGGGAGGGGGAGAGGGAAGGAAATAAGTTTAATAATAACCTGAACTTGCATTGTGGTATGCAAGCTCTCTTCATCCATCACTGGTCCAATAATCAATGAGGGCCCAGTATATGCTTGACATGCTAGTCTTGGGGAAGCAGCAGAGAGCTAAATCAAAACCAGTCTCTGCCCTCATGGAGTTTACATACTAACGGGCACAT